ATCGGAAACGAGGAGGAGAGTTACAACGTATGCCTTTGCATTTATATCAAAATGCTCCAAAGCATCAGTCATATGAGGAATTTGATTATGCGATTTCACATACAGAGAAAATTTTGATGAAAAAATTCAAACGATCACTTCTACAAGATTGAGAAAACATCTTGCCACTATGAGCCAGATACTTGAGTTATCTCCAAACGATATAGAGCAATTGGCCACATTCATGGGCCATACTACAGATATCCACAAACAGGTATATTGCTTGCCTGATGATGTTTTTCAGACAGCAAAAATTACCAAACTCTAACTTCTGATGGAGAGTGGCCAGGCAGGGTTCTATAAAGGAAAGAGTTTGAATGGAATAGATCTAGACATGGAAGAAAATGTGAAAGAGGATTCGTCAGATGAAGATGAAAATTAAGAAATATTATTAGAACAGCAAGCTCCATTAAGTTTTATTCGGCCACAAAATAAAAGAAAACTGGTTCCTTGAACAACAAATCAGAAAAATCTGACGATACCCTATTTTAGAGACCACATAACAAATAAAGTGCCACAAAAAAAAAAGGGAAACAAGCTCATCCTGGGGTTTTTGATAATAAACAGTGGAAACAAATAAGTTTTTATTCGAAACGCTTATCGTAAACAATAATACTGTTTTCCGAAAGGAAAAAAAAAAGTATTCTTTTGAGTTTGTATGTTTAATAAAAAAATTAAATTTACCTTCGTTTGTCTGTACTTCAATTCAAAAATCTATTAAGGATAAAAAGGTATAGTATTGCTTTTCTTTTCTCAAAATATCCTTCTGATACTTGTCCTCTTTATTGAAAAATCAGTTGTTACATTAAATTTTCAGGTGATCGATAAGGAAAATCAATTGAGGGGAAATAATTCTTTTGTAAATATATTAGATGGTTAGGTGAAGAATATGGTTTTCAAAGCGGAAAACTGATATATTAAACATTTGAAGGTTATTTAAAGAGTTAGTCAATCGAAGAGTTCTGGGAATAAAGCTGTTGTACGAAGAATTTAATCTGTGAAAAAAAACGCAAAACGTTTGCACCTGTCTAGTTGAACGACTGGAAACATGTAGAGATAGTTTGGAGAGAAGCTTGGGGCTGATACTAACTCCGTTGATAAGTTTGAAGTATTAAATCTCTGTTTTCTGCGAGCCTCAAGAAGAGGTATGTTCAAAATGCATTCCAATGCAGTATAGTCATACTATACACGCATCTTGAAGGCAATATATCCCAGGAAATTATGCTGTACAGCCTCGTATTTCACTTTTTGTGTAACGTAATGAGGGTACCAAACTGTGGAACAATAATCGAGATGAGATCTAACCAGAAAAAAATAAAGAAATTTATTAGCAGTGATGTTGGTGAAATCACAGTTGGTTCTCTTTATAAAGCTAGGCATCTTCATAGGTTTTTGAATTACAGCGAAAATGTGTGATTTATAGCTGTTAAGTGTGGAGTCTAGGATCACACCTAAATATTTGGTTTCAATAACAGAATATAAGGTCCGATTATTTATACTATATTTGAAAGGTATTGGGTGATGTTCGATGAAAGCGAAGAATTTGGAATTTGGATGCATTCAAACACGTACCATTTTGCGAACACCAGTTAGATAGGCAATCTATATCGTTTTGTAGACACAATGTATTAGTTTCACTTTTAATTATTTTAAAACATTTTAAATCGTCATCAAATACTATGTTTTCAACAAGGGCGACAAAGCGGGAGGCAAATTGCGTTCATGAAATGAAGTTACCTTTTCATCCGTTTCTGCATGCCCTTGAATTTCCAGTAAGTGAATTTATATTTAGTATCAGCACATAATATGGCTGCTGTATAGGCACCAGAATTTATATCACTGTTAATCTTATAGAGACAGTTGAAAATTGCATCATTGGTACTTTTGTTATTTTGAAAACCATACTGCTCAATATGTTTTATTATAGAAAAAGTACATAGCCACTTTATGATGATTTTTTCAATAATTTTGGATAAAGTCGAAACAAGTGATATAGGTCTGTAGTTTATTGGATCATCTATGGCACCACCTTTGAAAATCAGAATAACTACAGAAGTTTTTATAAATTCTGGAAATGAGCCATTCACAAAGGAATCATTTATCGATGAGACAAGAACATTCAAAGCACAATCTTAACTTTTATTAATTCAATTATGTCAGTGGGGATTGAATCAAATGATTCTTCTGTTTGAATTTCCTTCAAATACTCAATTTTCATGAAGCGTACAATCGAATAAGTTGATGAAAGTTTTTCTCTGTTTGATATTTTAGTCTGTTTAGCTTCAAGTAGATGAATTGAATCTTCAAAGTGAAACTGGTGGGCTCGATTGTGGTATGAAAACTTTATTTGAAACTATTCAAGTGATTTTGTTATACTGATGGGCATTCGTTTTCCAAAAGGGTTCTATTATTAATGCTGGGCAGTTTTCCCTTCATCACTATTGTCATTGTAGAATTTGGTTTTTCAGGATTTGCTTCAGTGTTTTAATCTGTGAGCAAATACCAATTGAGATTAGAACTTTTTTGTTGTAGTCAACTGATCTATCTTCCAATAAATTTATTGTTTTATTATGCACAATTTTATGTTCTTGAATCTTGGATATAACATTATCCTTGCTTTTAAATCCTTCATGGAAGTAAATATCTTAATTTACTTTGTCTGATCCTATATTCGAGAAATTGTCAATTGTGATATCACATGTTTGTGTTTGTTTAACCTCCCTTCGAATGCACGAACATTATACTATTCCTTTGCTTCCATTCAGGACTTGTAATCCTGTAATTCTAATTAAACAGGAATTAAAACCAACCTTCACAACTATTACATCTTACACCAGTATTACCACTGTTTTTGGCAGTAAGAGCAGTTTTTGACAAACTTTACCACTGACAAACTGTACCGTTGTTGGCCATCTTGAATGAATACAATTCATCTAGATTAAAACTAGCAATATATCAGTTGATAGATACATTTTCCGAAATCAAAAAATCATTCATTATAATTTGAGAGGTTCATATCCCTATTTGGGAGTATTTCAAACTCAATAGGTTCATGATAAATATTAGTTCGGAAATGAGTCAATAGCTTCATCAATATCATTTCAAAGCGACTAAAAACAAAATTCAGTAATATAAATCTAGAATTAGTCATTGTTATTTCTCTGGAATAGATTTAAGAAGGTGTAGGTATCCTAGCTGGCGAGTTTCTTGAACACAATAATAAGAGATTTGAGCCATTATGCACCCATGTTGCCTCAGGATTGTTGTAGTCACCCCCACAAGTGTGTTGCAATGCTTGACATACACGTCATCAGTGGATCTGTGAGTCCAAGTTCCAACAGCATCAACAAGCCATTGTAAATGAATGAATCTAGTAAACTAATACTTCAGTGATACTGAAGTAAAGGTGTTTTATCTTGTATGTTTCCAGTGATTGGATAAACTTAATAATTTATAATTTCTGGCCATTAGTATTTTTCTTCAATTCAAAGTGCCAACTGACAGTATGCTGTTTAGGACTTTGGGCCCTGTCAGCGCAGGACTTGACTGGTCTTTAATTCAAGACACAGACTACTAACATCCAGTCATTGTATTCAATAAATCCTTTCATGCAAACCTACCTAGTGGTATGTATATATTCAACATCTAAGAAAACATGGAAATATTTTTTTTGAAAAAAAATAGTTTTCCTATTTCATCACACAATATAGAATTATAAAGAAAATTGAACATTTGAACATACAACACATCTTGGTGTTGATAACTATTCAATGTACTCAACATGTTCAATATACACTTATGAAAATTCTATTGGTACAAACAAAATTTTGAACAATTAAAAATTGTACTGTGAAGGAATACCAATGAAATTACGAATCTCTTTGGCATTGACAAAATGACTTTTTGTAAAAAGTTAAAATGGAATACAATTCAATAAGAATGAACAAAAACTCACCAATTTATGCTTCTTATGGAGTTCCTCTGCGTATTTGCTGACTTCCCTGACTAAATCTGAAACTTTCTGTACCATTTGCATATGTAAAGCTGACAAGCGCTCTGCTGATGTCTTCAAAACCTGCCAGAGTGGTGCGAAAGTACCATGTACACAGCAACTACCAGCTTGTTTAGCTAGCTTACTCAATAGTTTGGAATTATTTTCTTCTATATTAGATCTGAAATTGATAATTACTTCAGAACAGTTCACAAATGAAACACTTCTATGACTTCTAATAACTGAATTTGTTGTTGAGTCATATATTAAGAGCTTCCAAGAGTCTGTTGGAACCAGTTCTGAGCAGTAGCAGGCACTGGTAATGTTATAAATAAAAAATTAGACAATTCTTTGAAATATTTGTCAAGGCATATACAAACTCATCAAACATAAAGTAATGATGTGTGATTGAAACAAAGTAATTTAACACTGATTTTCAACATGTAAGTGATTCGAAAAATACCTTTCTCTCAGGAAATCTGCAAATTCTTTGCTGGCTGCAAGTCCATATTTCATGTTATGGTACAAAACATCAAATCCATTATTCTTCTCGCCCTAAATTAATAGTAATTCAATTATTCTGTATAGTTTCCTGGGGTGAATTCTACTCAGTACTCACCCAGAAATAATCATTGAAATCAACCGTCATTGTGGCTATGTAATCATACCAATTTATATTTAATAATTAACGGTTTTACAAAGGGCACAACAGAGTTCAACTCGTAAATTAAAAACAATTCACTCTGACAACTGATGACACTTCTTACTATACTTATTGATACAAATCACAAACTAACATCATTCAATAATTTTAATTCACAGTGAAATCAAGTCTATTAGATCCAATGTTTATTGCATTGTTGAAAAAAAACCCTTGAAAACTGTTTAATCCCTCCCTTTTACCATTATTTTTTATTGAAATAGGGGGCGGATCCACAAGTCAGTTATGTCAAAAAAATGACAGCAACTGAACTAATGTCAAAGACTCACTACTGTTATATTGGATCATTCATGATCTGAGCAAATCATAAATCCCCTAATGAACAATAACTGTAAGAAAAAGACGAGATGTTTCATCAGAATTTCAAACAATCAGTACTGGCAACACCGCCTGTCATGAACAGCAAATCCAGTCAACCAATGGTAATGAAATATGTTTCAAATTCAACCAATAAGTGAATTTACCGCAGAATGGACATTAGACATTTTTGAATAAGCCTACCTGTCTATTATTGGTTAGTAAACTTACGCCATTCAGAATTTATTTATCAAAAGTGAACAAGCCTTTTCTTCTACACTTGGCAATACCAAAATGCTATTGTCTATAGACATAGACGTCATACCAACAAATAAGAGAAAGTATTTTATGTTATAATATTGAGGTGTTTTCTGGCGTTCAATCGTATTCGAGCATGTATTCAAAAACGATTCGTAGTGACGTCATTAATAACGAGACTCGCCAGAATCACAGCATAGGTAACAATCAGCATAGACACTTGGCCATGCCGCCTTTGATGTGGAAAAGTATCTAGACGCCATTTTGGGAAGTGACGATAAGAGGGCAGGACTCGCGAAATGGTTTTGGACAGGTTCGCACTCAAACTTTTTTATATCCAAAATGCTGCTAAAATTTTGATATACCTTACGGAATGCACCTAAATTCAATTGATATAATAATTCTTGTGCAGACATTCTATCTGGTTACATGATTTTTTTCAAAAAATATCAAAACAGCCGAATTATTTCTAAAATCACCAGTAGGAATCATTCAACTGGCATATGAAGGAGAAATTGTCTAGCAATCAACTTTTTGGTATGAACTCTATGATCTACCTCTGTTAAAATAAATGTGATTTTGTATATTGCTAATTAACCTTTTAGTTGAATTGTTTGTTCTTTATTATAAGAATTGACGATCTCTTTGCATTTTAGAATGAACTCTTTTTCAACATAAGTAATTATACTGCAGGAATTCCAGCCCAAAATCCCATGTATTTTCTTATGGCGCTTCATTCTGGTCCGTTTTGGACCTCAGGCTCACTTCACACGAAAGGAGTAAAGGTCAGCGCCTCGTCTCTGCCAGACGTCCATTATGTGTAAACTGAGCCTTAGCCTTCAAAGCCCACATCAGACCACCTCCACTTTTCCACTTTTACCGTCATTCAGTCAACCAATCAGCTATCGCGCATAGAACAGGAAATTCAAATCAGTAGATGAACAATGTATGTTCTGGACCACTTCAAGAAACTCCAGTGAGTGGAAGAGAGAAACGTGTGACGTAATCGATGCAGGATGGAACGAGTATCGCAGCGATTCAAGCATGGAACTCGGCCCCCTTAGTACTCCACATCACCGCTCAGGTCCTCTTGCGACTCTGCCTCACCCCTCGGTCCACTTGTCACGTTCCAGTCACGTGATTTTAATTTAAAAAAGTTTGTAGTTATGAAATTCGAAGCCAGGACGTCCGCGTGGTAGACATTGTCCTTAGCCTCTACACCAATGTAAGACATTGACAGTAACTGCGAATGATGGGTATTTATAGCGTTAGTTTTGTCGGGACCGAAATTGACTCATTGACTTGACCGCATTTTTTTATTTCCGTAGAATGTTAGGTAAGTTGTAATCGTCATTATCATATTGAAGATAGGAAAATATACTTAGATTTGGGAAATCATTAATATTTCATGTATAGTTGTGTATGTGTGTGTAAGAGCGAGAGACGCGAGTGACGTAATCGATGCAAAGAGAGATGGAGATGGTATCGAGATTTACCGGTTGCTGGCGCAAGCAAGTGTTGCCGGTTGTACAATAAATCGTTGTTTATGAGGCAATGTAGCATTGCCGGTTTTGAAATTAATCAAATTAATCGTAAACTGTTGAAGTTAGTATGTTGGCAATCCTGTAATTGACATGTGTCATCTGTTAGTTTTTTTTTTAGCCCTGTACTCGTGGTAGTTGCATGTTGTATGTTATGTCGACGAAGTGATTACTTATTAAAACGTTTATCAAGGTGTGCCTTATTTAATTGCCCAGTATCTATTTGATGGTATTTCAAGGCGCAGTTCAACATAAACGACTTTATAAAAATTGGAAGCGCGAAAGTGATATATTAATAATAATGAATCAGATTTTAAAAAAACATTACAGATTAATGAGACTGTATCGTTTCAAAGTGCGATCCCTCAATGTTACAAGGTATCTCAAAATACATCATTGAAAACAAACATAGCGTCGAAGTGTACAGGGTGCGTCAAAATACATCATTTAAGAAAAAAAACATAACGGTTCCACGAGGCTGTAAGTTTTCAACGTGCGATCCCTCAATGTGTACAAGGTATCTCAAAATATATAATTGAAAACAAATATGGCGTCGAAGTGTACAGGGTGCGTCAAAATATATCATTTAAGGAAAAAACATGTCGGTTTAAAATATGATATCAATGTGTATACAGGGCGTTTCAAAATACATCATTTAAGAAAAAAACATGTCGATTCAACAGAAGTCTAGCGTTCCAACATGTCAGAAGGACAATAAGTCTAGTATCTTTGTTAACCAAGTTAGCATCATCAGGAGAAGAAGGAGATGGTGCCAAAGGTGTTGAGGAGTTACGTATTGTGGAGTTAACATTCGAAAATGGGGAAAGCGACCGTTTTACAAACGTTTCGACCGTTTTCGATCGTTTTCGATCGTTTGCGTGCGTTTTCGATCGTTTTTCGTGCGTTTTCGACTGTTTTCCGTGCGTTTATTCGTTATCGTTCCATCGTTATTGTCGTAACGGTTTTTCGTGTTTCAATATGACAGTCATTTATCATTTAACGCGTTCCGCTAACCATGTAAGCATCATCAGGAAATTACTAAAGTATATGCTTTGTCATATGAAGATTCATTTTGCGAATTTTCAGACTCTTGAACGGAACATTGTGGAACACTCAACCTAACTTCTGTTACAGAGTAGTATCGGTCAGCTAATCAGAATGGAGAAATCAAATATCAGTAGAATAATTGTGCTAGATGGAATTGAACTGGAGAATGTGGGTCGAATAATAATAATAATAGTGATAAAACATTAAAACCTTGAAAGTGACGTAGTCAGCGTGGGAGGTGGTGCGTATGTGAGGGTTCGTGGAAATTAATGAGTTATTACAAAAAATAATAGCGCAACTGTCAGAAGGGTACTAAGTTGTATATTCACTAATAATGATCGGATCGTCGCGTACAGCACGTCAAATGAAAGGATAAGAAATGCAGAATTCATCGACAAAGAAAAAGCAAAGATGACGCAACATGTCAGAAAGGCACTGAGCCAAATCTTTGTTAATGATAGTTGAATCTCAACGTGCAGCACATCAAGTGGAAGGGAAACGAATACAGAGTGTACCGACAGAGAAAATACAAAGATGGCGTAATGAATATAATATCCAACGCCTGATGTGAAATAGCATAGAAAGAATTGCAAATTCAACAAAAATCATTGAACAAACTTGGAATTGAAAAATGTTGGGTTATGAATAACCATAAGTTTATTCCAATTGCAGAAGCTTGATTCAAAACGCAGAGTTTATTGACAAAGAAAATGAAAAAAATCATTGTATACTGAAACATATGATATATTTGGATTCCTTAGGGTGGGAAGATTTCGAATCCATCAAAAAACGACCACTTCCGGTTTTCACTTACGGTCCTCCGATTTCGATGATTTCAACATCAATGGAATCGTTTACATGCCATGAAACATAATTAATCATTTGTCGAAGCCAAAAGGACCTTATAACCTATTTTCATTATACTAGCAGCAACAGACCGATATGGGTACTCATTTCAAATGATTTCATTTGTAGATTATGAAAAGTATAATATACAGCGTCCGATGTGAAATAGCATAGAAAGAATTGCACATTCAAAGAAAATCATTGAACATATTCGAAATCAAAAGTTGTTGGGTTATGAAAAACTACGAGTGTAATGTAATTGCAGAAGTTTTATTCAAAACACATAATTTGTTGACAAAAAAATGGAAAAATCATCCTATACTGAAACATGATATTTTTAGATTCCTTATGGTGAGAAGGTTTCGAATCCGTCAAAAACAGGTCACTTCCGGTTTTCACTTCCGGTCGTTCGATTCCGATGAATTTGACATGAATGGATTCGTTTAGATGTCAAAAAACATAGTTATTCATGTCACGAAGCTAAAAGGACCTCATAACCTATTTTCATTATACTAATCGCAACAGGTCGATGTGGGTACTCATTTCAAATGATTTCATTCGCTGATTATAAAAAAGTTAATATCGAGCGTCTAATGTGGGATAACAAAGGGAGAATTGCATATAAAAAGAAAAAAACATTGAAAAAAATCTTGAAATTCAATGTTATTAGGTTACGAACAACTATAAGTGGAATTCAATAGCAGCGGTTTGAATCATAATCAAACCAGAAGGAGCCTTAAAGTTCTGGAGGCGAGGGATTCAAATTCACCAAGACAAGATCAAAAGTGAATAAACTATTTCAAGCCTGAAGACTATGAGCGAAATGTCTAATAAAATACACGACTGCGATCGATCTGTCATTGATTATTATCTGACACGTTCAAAAATACCCGTAGTATTCCTTATGAAATTACAATTCTCATTTATTCGATTCCTAAAATCATTCATTTCTAGTACAGGAGTATTCCTTATGACATTACAATTGTCATTTATTTGATTCCTGAAAGAATTCATATCTAATACAGGAGTTTTATAAACAAAAGATGACCACTTGAATGAAAATCTAGAGGATTTTGGTCCCTTCAATCACAGCGAAAAAATATGCATTTTTCAAGCTTTCTTTTTTCGAATACCCTTATGATTTGCAATGTAACGTGTTATGAAAAATTGTGTAGATTGAAGCGCATCTTCATCTCATCACGTGTCAGTTTGAAGAAATAACCATCCGCAGATATTGGAAATTTTTATTTAGTCAAACATTTGAAATTTAATTAATCAAAAAACTTTTTCTGTGAAGAACCGAAATTTTTCACTTAGATATTGGTAAAA